CTTGAACTTTTCAACCTTTTGCCACATTTCAGGCTTCAAAAATAAAGATATAAAATTTTATTTTTTTGAGAAAAATCAACAAGTGGGACACAATCGTGAAGTGGAATGCAATTTATTGGATGTGTCGAACTTTTTTAACAAATAAAAAACTGAAAAGTGGGGTGTGCAATATTATTCAGCCACTTTACTTTCAGTGCAGCAATCTCACTCCAGAAGTTCAGTGAGGATCTATGAATGATCCAATGTTGTCCCAAATGACTGATGAAGATAAATAGAATCCACCTGTGTGTAATCAAGTCTTCGTATAAATGCACCTGCTCTGTGATAATCTCAGGGTTCTGTTCAAAGCGCAGAGAGCATCATGAAGACCAAGGAACACACCAGGCAGGTCCGAGATACTGTTGTGGAGAAGTTTAAAGCTGGATTTGGATACAAAAAAGATTTCCCAAGCTTTAAACATCCCTAGGAGCACTGTGCAAGCAATCATATTGAAATGGAAGGAGTATCAGACCACTGCAAATCTACCAAGACCCGGCCGTGCCTCTAAACTTTCATCTGGAACAAGGAGAAGACTGATCAGAGATGCAGTCAAGAGGCCCATGATCACTCTGGATGAACTGCAGAGATCTACAGCTGAGGAGGGAGAGTCTGTCCATAGGACAACAATCAGTCATACACTGCACAAATCTGGCCTTTATGGAAGAGTGGCAAGAAGAAAGCCATTTCTCAAAGACATCCATAAAAAGTTGTTTAAAGTTTGTCACAAGCACCTGGGAGACACACCAGACATGTGGAAGAAGGTGCTCTGGTCACATGAAACCAAAATCAAACTGTTTGGCCACAATGCAAAACGATATGTTTGGCGTAAAAGCAACACAGCTCATCACCCTGGACACACCATCCCCACTGTCAAACATGGTGGTGGCAGCATCATGATTTGGGCCTGCTTTTCATCAGCAGGGACAGGGAAGATGGTCAGAATTGATGGGAAGATGGATGGGGCCAAATACAGGACCATTCTGGAAGAAAACCTGTTTGAGTCTGCAAGAGACCTGAGACTAGGACGGAGATTTATCTTCCAAAAAGACAATGATCCAAAAACATAAAACCAAATCTACAATGGAATGGTTCACAAATAAACATATCCTGGTGTTGGAATGGCCAAGTCAAAGTCCAGACCTGAATCCAATGGAGAATCTGTGGAAAGAGCTGAAGACTGCTCTTCACAAACGCTCTCCATCCAACCTCACTGAGCTCGAGCTGTTTTGCAAGAAAGAATGGGCAAGAATTTCAGTCTCTCCATGTGCAAAACTGATCGAGACAAACCAAGCCAAGCCAAACCAAGCCAACAACCCATTTAAACTGATGGCCGCGCTCAGAGCAGTTGCAGCTTCACAGGCTCCCGGTACCATCCCAGTTTTTAGAAGTTTTGATATTGACTCTGTGCCTGACTCCGCGCGATTTATGCGTGTGAACTATAGCCGAACCGAACTGATGAGAATAGGAACGAATTTGCCACGAAATATAGCAGAAATCAGCAACAAACTCAAAGCTACGCTCGGCAGAATGCAGATCTTAAAGTCATCTACCTGGAAGCTGCAGCAGAGGCGTTCCAGCGGGCAGAAGAGGAAGCGCTGCTCCCGGCTTAAGAGGAGAGGATGCCGGGCGGGGGTTATGGTGAGGCTACGAGCTAACGCTAAAGCCGGTAAACTCCCCATGCCGTCTCTCTTTCTGTCGAATGTCCGCTCGTTGGACAACAAGGTGGATTTACTTCGTCTGAGAGCGGGCGCCTCAGAAGAGATGAAGAAGTGTGCAGTGCTTTGCCTCACAGAAACGTGGATTACAAGCGAAACGCCGGACTCAGTCTTCCAGCTGGATGACAGACTTTTTTTTCGAGCGGACCGCTGCAGCAAGCTAACGGGGAAATCACGGGGGGGCGGAGTGTGCATTTACGTGAGTAAAAGTTGGTCCACGAACTCTACTGTTGTAAATAGCTCATGCTCGAAGGCTTTGGAGCAAATAACAGTGAAATGTCGGCCACATTATCTACCCCGAGAGTTCACAGTGACTTTTATCACAGTTGTTTACATTCCTCCGGACGCTAATGCTAATGAATCACTACAGGAGCTTCATGATATCATCAGCTCGCTGCAGAACAAACACCCCGAGGCTCTTTACATTGTAGCCGGAGACTTTAACCACGTGAATCTAAAGGACTGTCTCCCAAGCTTTAATCAGCATGTGACGATTCCGACACGTGGAGACCGCACGCTGGACCGTGTTTACACGAACGTAAAAGATGCATACAAAGCCGAACCCCGCCCCCACCTAGGACTGTCAGACCACATCTCAATCTTCCTGGCTCCTGCTTACATGCCCCCGCTGAGACGCTCCAGACCGGTTCAAAAGAAAGTTAAATGTTGGATCCAGGACAGTGGCCCCATACTGAGAGATTGTTTTGATCGAACAGACTGGCAGGTTTTCAGAGAAGTTGCTGAAAATGGAGGTTCGCTTGATCTTGACCAATACACATCCTCAGTACTGGGTTACATTAGTACATGTACTGACACAGTCTCCACTATCAGAAATGTTAAAAGCTACCCAAACAGAAAACCTTGGCTGAATGCAGAGGTGCGTACCCTGCTGGAAGCCAGGAACACTGCCTTCAGGTCTGGAAACTCAGAGAAGCTGAGTAGGACAAGAAAAGAGCTGGTTGCTGGTATTAAGAGGGCCAAGGCCACATATGCAAAGAGGATCGAGGGTCAATTCATCTCACAAGACCCTCGGAGCATGTGGAGGGGCATTAAGTGCATAACAGATTATAAAGGAAGGAGTGAACAATGTCCCAAAGACCCATCTCTGCCTGATGCCCTCAACAAGTTCTATGCACGCTTTGAAGACCCGAACAGACCACCCAGCACCAGACTCACCTCACCACCGGATGAAGAGCATCTCAGCGTGACCTCAGCAGAAGTAAGGAGTACCTTCAGGAGGATTAATCCGCACAAAGCAACTGGCCCAGACAACATCCCCGGAAAAGTGTTGAAGGAATGTGCTGATCAGCTCTGTGAGGTGCTGGCAGACATCTTTAACACCTCACTTACCCTGGAGACAGTTCCCACCTGCCTGAAGACTGCCACCATCATCCCAGTCCCAAAAAGCTCTACAGTGACTGGTCTGAATGACTATCGGCCAGTGGCCCTCACCCCGATAGTCGCTAAATGCTTCGAAAAACTGGTCATGACTCACATCAAAACAACCATCAACATCAACGAGGACCCTCATCAGTACGCATACCGTGAGAACCGATCAACAGAGGATGCAATCTCCTCTGTGGTCCACACTGCACTCAACCACCTGGAGCAGAAAAACTCTTACGTCCGTATGCTCTTTGTGGACTTCACATCCGCCTTCAACACCATGATCCCCCAAACCCTGATGGACAAACTATCCACACTAGGACTAAGCCCCTCCATCTGCAACTGGGTACTAGACTTTTTAACAAACAGACCACAGTTAGTGAGGATCCACAACCTCTCCTCCTCCACCATAACCCTCAGCACTGGCTCTCCTCAGGGATGTGTGTTGAGCCCCCTCCTGTTTACTCTGCTCAC